ATAAGTAAGAAGTAAACGTCTTTATAAACAATCACATAATTACAAGAAAGATAACTACATTGTATAACATAGTACTGTAACCACTGTGGTATTGTCGGCAACATCTCTACAATGTATCAAGTACTTGCATCTTACATATTATGACTCTTGCAGAGGCACACACGGTTAATTATCTAAGTGTAGGCACAGATGATTATAACAAGCAATACATAACCCGACTTTCTTGATCCGACTCAAGTACGTAACAACGTCTACGTCCGATTGTTATTTATAATACAAATCGTTAATAATTTTAATCTTATACAGTTTCAAAGTTTATTTTGTTAATCTTTAGCACGTTTAACAGAATATACCCTTAAATAGTTAAAATATCTAAGCGAACAGATAGCGGAAGCGACTTCATTTTATACTATATAAAGATGATTCACAGTGACAGATTCTGATGACTTGCTTATGGCCTATTGCTGTAATCCACATATAGATTTTTTATAAATCTGTTCTTTATACAGTAACTGCATAAAGCATAGCATTAAACCCGGCATAATATTAACTAACTATACGAAACTGCCTGTACTTATATGATACTAAAATATGTATAGTATGACGTGTCGGCGATACAACACGATATAAGGAAGGGCATTCACATCATTAATGTATGCAGATATATATATACACAATCGTATAAAGGCTAAGCTAATAAAGACAAAAGGCTACTTATATTTATATAAAATATATATAAGAATCAATAGCAGTTTGTATCTTGATGGTCTTGAATAATATTTCTTTGTCTTATTCGATTAAAAATATATAAATAATCGCTACTTTACTTCGGTACAGTTTTCACAATACATCAATCACATCAAATTTAATGTTTACTTTATTATAATTAGTTTAACAAATAAGTTGCCCGGTTACTCGTTTTCTATAAACAGTAATCCGAACGCAAAAGTGAAGTTGGGCAGATACATTCTTGCTGCATATATTATAAAATAAACATTATTGGTATTTTGATTTCTTTGCTACAAAGCTCGTTTAATTCTGCGTTTAAAGTAACGCTTTAAATTTAATCGAACCTTATTTCGGGTAACATAAATAAAATGCTTTTTGCGTTACATCTAAATGGCCTTTTGTGCAAATGTACTGCTATTTTTCTTTTTAGTTGTATTACCGATAACCGTTTTGCCATTATCACTATTCCAGCTTCGACATGACTATTTATGACTATTATATTAATACAATAAAATTAAGATCAGTTGTGAGTCAAATTAAAGAAAAATCTAGACATCGCTGGCAAACATAAAACAGCCTCCAAGATTGTGATGATGCACGCGTGGGCGAACTGAATCACCCGACCGCGCGCCAGTAGGCTACCCACACTCCTATATGCTGATTGTTCTCATGTCACGCTTATATTAGGAACATATGAGGCGCAAACTGTTCCAATTCAATAACTAAAATCATATTTTATAATAAAAATATGTAAATGGTAAAAAAAACTCAAGTAAAGTCTATAACTAATAGACTATATTGTTACGCATACTGTTACGTTCAGGTGATCAGCAATGGTTTCTTTGATAATTGTATATATCACCCGCTTGATAGAAATTTATATAACTCTTTCTTTAAGCAGGCGCTGAATACTTTTTACAGCATATTGAATGAGGTAATTTTTTTTTTCAGATACATATTGTATAGTGCAAACTATAACTAAAACTGTTATTTTAATCGTTTTAGTACCATTGTATACATTACATTAAAATTGATATAAAAATACAGAAAAATTGCCGATTAACGTAAGAAATAAAGCATCACGCAATATACGTTTTAAAATCCGTCTTATCGAAAGATACCTATTATCTGATTTGTCTACACCTTTGATCGGTACAAAAAATAATGACAATCTATAGTTTTACTATTTTACTTTATGTTATATACTCTTTTAGTTTAGTAAACATTTTTTTCAATAAAAATGTGATTTATCTACTCGTATAATGTATTCACACTGCCATCCAATTATCCGAACCACTCCTGCCAAAGATAATTCGCCTACCTAATTAATAAATATTATAATGAGGCTACTTCCAGATAAATTTATGATGACGCTTATTCTGAACAAATTATTATCTATATGCTATAATATTTATTTAAACAAATGTTAAATTTAAGTCCTAATTTCCAAAACACCCGTTTGACCGTAGATAACGATAACGTAGGAATTAAGCTTCTTCAATTAATTATTAATAATATAATAAATAAAAATATTTCATCGTGTGTTACATAATATTTAATAAGGAAAGGAGATTGATAAGTCTTGTATCCTATATAAGTTAACAGCTGAGGTTAATTGGTCACGACAAAGTTGTCAATATTATCTTTGCAACATAAATTATTATTTTAAAAAATGCCTACTTTAAGATTTATGCAATTGCGTCGGTGGTCTAGATGTTTAGCTGGCCGCTTTCTTGCAATGGTCGCGGGTTCATTTCAACAGCACGGTATAAACATTTGTATACATGAGTATGATTGTATGCATTGGTCGACATTTTTTCTACGTGTTTTCTATGTATATTGTGTATTATGTATATACAAAAAATTTATATAAGTATTTCTATCATTTGTCTAGTAGCCACACCCGCTTTATGTAGATGGCGCTGTGAGATTTTATTATATTATTATTATATTCGAATCTTTCGTGTTAACATAATTTTCCAACATACTACTATCAACAATTACGTGAAGAATTAAAAATTGATCGATATACGCCAATGACGCTAATTTGCATATCTAACATCAATCTTGTAATATTTGGTACTTTTGTATCATTAATAAGCATATCGTCAATAAGGTCATATTGTAGTTATTACGCTCGGATACAATATCATAATACAATTGGGACTTTATTACTATTAAGACTAATGAAGTATCATCAACAAACAGAATTATGTTTGATATCTTTTCTACCATATAAGGCAGGTTATTTATGTAAAATCTAAAATTAAAAAAAGATCTAGAATAGATACCTGAGGGATACCACATTATAGTATTTATTTTAACAATTTTCATTCTATTCTGTAATATAATTTTATCATGTTTAGAGCTTTACTTCTAAGACCATAATATTTCAGTTCATGTGTTTCTTGATGAACTCAATCAAATACTTTTGAAAGGTCACAAAATAAACCCATCAACAAATATATAATTCATTAGAGTTTTAGTAGACAAGCGACAGAAGTTGATTTATCCACCATGAAACCAAAGTGTTAACTGTAAAGCAGTTTATTTACTTTAAAGTGTAGCATTTCTGTGAGCATAGTTTTTTCTAACAAAAACTAACTCTTCTTTGTTATTTCTTAAAATATTAATCATATTTTGATCAATAGTCAAATGAACAGAGTAAGTAAAAGTATAGTAACAGTGCTAGAGAATGAATAGTACAACATATTTTTTGGTACAAGATACCTGGTGATTTTTCCAACAAATACTAGAGCACTCATACAAGCTATAGATGTGATAGTCTACAATAAGTGTGAGTTCACTTATATACAATAAGCAATTGTCAATGTGAATTACTTTCGTCAAACAAATTAATTAAGTTTTATTATAAATTATGTTAAATGTCTATTTGAACCCACATGCACTACTTATAATACAAGCTAAAACTGTTGCAATTGTAGAAACTCATAAAAATCTCTCTAATTTATTATTTGTTTCAAACACACATGTTTACTTTCTAGGTTCAGGTAAGTAAATCATTTTACTATACATTATGTCAATAATTTAAAAAAATACAAACTTAAAATATGGCTCTTAATGTGATTCTGTCTTTGTTTTTCTAATGGTAAGACCATTACATGTGTTAAATTATATTCTAATTTGGGTCATGGAACTGGTGTGAACTTGATGGTCACAATATACTGTAGTGCAGAGATTAATGAAACTAATATTTATTTTAATTAATTTAAAACAGCATTTAACAAAATTCTACCACCATAATGGCGATACAACTGATAAGTGTCCCTTAAAGTCATCTTTATCGCAAATTTGGAAATAAATCCAGTTACTTACTTACTACTACATATGCAAGTAATTTGTTTAGTGATTATAAATGTTCTTAAAACTAAGAAGATAGATAATTAAAATAAATATATATAATATAATATATAATATGCAGGTGGAATAGAGTTGTGTAATAAATTATTTTATATGTGAGAGCTACATTCCATACTGAGAAACTAGTGCATATATTTATAAGAAAGAAAGAGCAGTGTTTGTCTCCAACAGTGGTGAGGTCAAAATGCTTTGTTAGTTATTGTATTACTCTGATACTATTATACTTAGATTGCATGGACATATACCTATGAATTTTATAGACATAAAAAGCAGCCACACTGCCAAAAAAGCAAGTTGCTTAGTTGTAGAAATAGGTTATGTTACAACAATAATAATAATGTTATACAATGTATAACACGAAATAAAAAATATTTTTATACTGTTCTATTATAGACTACAGTCAATTATTTCTTTGAAGCTCTATAATTTAAATTATATTTAGGAGTCTAATTTGAAAATACTTTATTGGAAAATAAATATACTTATATTTAGAATTAAACTACTGCGTTAAGTTTGTTTGCAATACCTGGCTAAATTCGTATCCAGCAGCCAACACATTCGAAATACAGAAAGTGTTACACTAATAGGTGAATGTACGCGGTATAAAATTAGAAAAACATTCACGAACGACTATTGTAATCAGTACAAAGTATAAGGGCAAATCATTTTAAATCTAATATTAATTTAAAGTTTTAAAAGTACACAGTTTTTATAGTAATTATATCGAGTATAATTTGGGTCCTATCGGCTCAGTAATTAAGGTAAGTGCTACAGAAATCAGGATCGACATCACTAAAATATCTCATGACTACATAAACACAGTGGTGAATAAAAATAGATTATTATTTACACGATGTAAACAAATAAATTAAGTACATTAATTTACTGACCTTTATTTCCCAAAAAAATTAAAAACACTATACTGCTTTTGCGACCATTGCTTAAACCAAAACCACAGACAAGTTTGCTTTGGGCTTACTTTTACCAACAGAGTGACAATCAAACTGATGGAATGACAGCCAAACAAGGAACAGTGGTATTGTAAACTACATAGATTAATTACAAATTAGGTATATAGATTATACAGAATGTTATTAAATATAAATTTTAGATACTTAGCTGTTATCGGTAGGGGTATAGATCCCAAATTACTAAATAATAATGATAAAGACATTTATTCACATTATAAATGTTATATAAGTCCATTGTTAGTAGTCATTATCATCTTGGATTGTTTTGGAAATTGTATAAACTATATACACTCAATTACGTAAAATAGAGGTAATACAAAATAAGGATCTTAGAAATATACATAGATTAATGTGTTTAAATCTTGTCAATATTTTATAAATAGAATCTGGTACTTTTCCAATTCATGTAAGACTTAATTATTTGATGGGAAAATATTATTTGGAAATCATAGCATAATAATAATGCAGTAATTTACTGATTTATTACATTAATTTCTTACTGTGTATTACTTATGTGAACTACAAAAGCTGTAATAAGTAATAATGAATTTATAATATACACAACAGATACGTCTGATTTTTTATATATTTTCTGATGGATCAAAATCTGAACTCTACTAATATACGCGGCATATTATGACTCATTGACTTATATACTACATAGCTCAAAATACATCTATTTACACAGTGGAAGCGTATGCAATTTTTAACACTTTGAAATATATACAAGATAGAAGAGTAAGATCTACCTTAAAATAAGCTGAAGGGATAATTTATGTATATAAGAAAAATGTTATACTGATATAATTTTTTTTTTAAAAACCATAGTGTTCTAAATTAAAATATACATCTAAAATTATATTACAACTAAATAGGATTCACATGGGAAGTTTGCATCTCATTTGTATAAAATATCATATAATGATAAATAGAATATGATGTTGGTTTAATAAGTTTATACAATAAAGAAGAAATACCCTACCTCCATGCCATCCATCCTAAAAAACACTGAAATTTACCAACTTATATATGGCTTCATGCTTAATTTCATAAGGACACGTTTTATCGGTTGACATGATACCTACGACTATCTTTTACCATCGCACTGCTCACCATCGACAAGGAATTCATCCCCACACGCTAGATTTCGGACAATAAGGTTTCAGAGGAGGTCCTTCCGCGTACACTTAGATTGTGGAATGAACTACCTGCCGAGGTTTTCTTACGAAACTACAGGATAGAGTTTTTTAATATTGGTGTATTAAGGTTTCTTAAGCACGTAAGCATGTAACATCCCCCGTAGGGTATGATAACTATTTGCAATCAGATGATCCGCATGATAGTTTGCCACCATAGTAGTATGAAAAAATTATAAGGACACTCTAGTGGTAGTAATTAAAAGCTAACCTACACATAAGTTTCTGATTTTTCACATCCATGTTGGTAAGCTTGCAGCACTATAAGTGTATAATGAAATTATTTAGCTATACTGAATTTCCAGGGCCGTAAAACTACTTTATTAAAAAAAAGTTTCCAACAGTCTATCAATCAATACTACCTACTCTTACTCTTAAAGATTACAGTAAGTACATCTGATTACTCTTCTGCGGGATTCTGACCAGTTTTTATAGTTTTGTTACAAGTACATATTCCAAGTATTTCTTTATTAAATTACTGTTTTTAAACATTGTTGTTTCGTATATATATACTATTCTTTAGACTTCATGAATTTTTAATTTAATAGCGTTGTGTTTGTTTTTGCAGAAGCTGTCTGATGGTCCTTAGCGAAAATGGGGAGGTATGTTCTAAGCGTTTTGTTAATTACACAATTACTAAAACTTATTTTTCGCGGTGAATATTACATACACAATTTATTAGAGTATTTATTGATAGGTTTATATGAACCTCCGATTAAGGAATAGCGTTGGTAATATCAGCTTTTATTCTTGGGACATAAGAATATGGCGGCCGTTAAAGGATTATAAATGCTACATTATATGACTAAATCTGACTTCAAAATCGTTTATGTATTATATTTATTGAGTTCCATTTTATTTTAAAATACTTGCTCAACCCATAAATATGTATTTTCATTGGATACTATGTTTTGTCACTGGCTACAGTTATAGTCCTTTGTTTGTAATTTTCTAAACCGACAGCGTTACAAATTTGTATTTACAATAATGTATATGACAAAATGGAAGCTAAGTTCACATTAAATACAAGCCAATATAGGTTTGCCTTTCACAAAACAATATTAACTGTATCTTGAAGCTGTACCTTTCTTAATACTATCACTCATTAACTCTAATAGATATTCATATAAAATAGTATGTATCTTTTGTTAATTATAACAAAATGTTACTGAACATTAACCTCTTATGTACATTATATTATTTGTTTAGAGCTTTATGAATATTATTTATTGTATTACTTGATTTTATTTTTATTTGGCATTTTTTTAGCATACCTTCAGATTTATTTCGAGTTTATATTAGAGTATATCTTGATACAGTGTTATTGTACCCATAGTGCATAAATTAGTGATGTCTGTATTCTTTTATTTAATGTAGATTCTTTTGAAAATATTGAGTTAAAATTTAATTTAAATTAGTTTGTTGTTAGAATTTTTTTTTTATTATATTCATATATAATATCCATCATTATAATTAGATATTATTTCCTCACATATTTCACTTATGTGGTATGTGTAAATATAGATGAATTGGTAAAAGTTTAGGTTCATATTAACATTTTTTACCCCTTACAATGGCATCACAGTCATTTTTTGTGTATCCTGAATAGGATAAAATAATTAGAGTAGTTGATATGATAATTTCCATAGGTATCTTCAAAAGATCCCTGATTAAATTAGTTCATCTCCCTATAGATCAAATATTTATTTATTTAAACTTTAATGCACACAATTTTAAAGTACATATGGCGGACTTAACAGCATGCGGCATTATCTACCAGTGAACCATGGATTTTACTAAGAATAATTGTTGGTGGTGCAAATATAAATATATTGAATAATACACATACAAATATATATGAATATATAGCTACATATGTATATGCACATACATAAATATATTTCTAATAATCAAACAATGAAAGATCATGTACTGCCACTAATAAATGAATAAAAAAACAAGGAGGAAACAGGACACAAAGAAAAGGTTACAAGTTCAAATAATGTTCCCATGATTTACATTTGAAAGAAAATCTACTCCTGGCGGTTTTTATATGAAGGGGTAAGCCCTTCCAAAGTTTATAATGTAGCCCTTTTTTCGGAAATTGGGGTACATTTGATGATTACACAATGTCCCACAACTCGGAGTGCCTTTTGGCATAGGCGTCCTCTAGCTCTCTCCACTGAACTCTGTCTTCCGCAACCCTTTTCCAGAACAATACCAGAGTCAGGTTGAGTTGTTTCAAAGTTTAATATCACGTAAAAACAAAGATGTTTAGGATGGGCGTTATTTTCAAAAGTTTAGATGCATTTCTTTTACCTTCCAATTTTCCTATCATTACTCTTGCAAAGACCACGCCTTAAGACCAGACCCGCGACGATCCTAATATATGGTTAAAAAGGAGTAGTGAAATTAAGCATTTAGTGAAGCACATGCTAACAAATAACCTTGTAACTGAGTACATTGAAATCCTCACAGCATCGAAAGGTATGACTGACATATAACCCTTAGATGCTTCCACTTTTCCCTAACAAGTAGAAATAAAGACTACACTGGATAATCTGGGTTTTCACTGTGTATACTATACATAAAGGATGGGCATTTTACAAACACGTCATTTATAAAAGACATTGCACATTATGAAACTGTAGGTGACACTGTAAGCATCATTACTAGATTTTAGTAATGCAATAGTTATTTTGATTGTAATATTTAAGATCAAATTTAATTAACATGTTAAAGACCACATGCCCATTCTGCACTCTGCAACAAAAGTAAACTTACTAGTTGGGGCCAGGGGACCACCTGTGGGGGCACTTTAATTGAAATAAATTTATTTAAACATATTTCAAAAATAATATATGCATTTAACAATAAAAAATTGTCGGTCCCTTTGTGAGAAATAAGATTATTCAAAATGTTAAACATTTTTCTCTACATCATAACAAATGGTATGTTGCAAATAATTTTATGCTCATTAGCTGTGTCTTACTACTGTTAACAAAAATAAAACAGTAACTATAACTGAAACAACTAAACAGTGCTATCTACTACTATTCTATTAATAAAATAGTAGATATCTTGAATAATTTTGATAAAAATAATTATTTCATTCCTGTTTGTGTTCACATGTTTTTAACCTAAAGGTTGACTGTAATTAAAAATATATACTGTGCAACTTTAACTTTATACTCTCTTTAAGATTTCACATTTTATATCTAAAAAAACAAATATAAAGTTCTCATCTGTTCTACTTCAAAACTAGAAACATTCAGAGAAAAAAACTGTTATTTAAATGTGTATGAAAAAAAATCGAATGGATGTTAAAATTTTGTCTCTCACATCTTGTAGATTAGAAAGTTTTACAACATTAAAGTTTTTACTATAGTTTTTTGGCCTCCTAACACTCTAAATTCCTCAGAAAGGGATCTGTCCCTTATTATTACTCTTTATCATCCCTCACATTCATCATTATTTAAAAAGTAGCCATGAGCTTATTATCCAGCCACAGTGTTACTGCAGTACGGTGCAGTGCAGTTAATGGTTTTCTTTTACTTTGAATTTATTACTTCATGTTATTTTCATTTTGTTACCTACTAAAGTGGGTACTTCGCGAAAAAGTAGTCTATACATGTCATTCTAGCCAGAGTGAATTGTGCATCAAGAAATATGTGTTTTAGTGAGTATATAATATTGGCGACGAGAGAAAATAGTGGAAAAATGCAATAAAGTGATTATTGTCTAACTAATTACATAAATAACAATAATGGTCATACAATATAACGAATTTGATATAGCATATTTTGATGTAAATATTATTAAATCATGTAGTACAAATACACCAGTACTCGATGCAATAGTGCCAATGGATATTAATAAACACAGGTGAATCAGAGAATGTCTTCTCAGAGCACAAATAAGAATAATGAGAATGTTTTCATTGTGGAGAACCGCAACTCGGTTCAACTGAAGTAAATGCCATCATTGTGGGAAAATTGATCATAGGGTGGCAGCCTGTTTATTGAAGTCCAGCCAAGGTAAGAAGTATAATTCAGAATACAATGTAATTAAATAAATGGACTATGATAAGGGACAGACAACACAATTCTTATTATATATAGATAGAAACAAATTTTGAAGCCTGGTTTAGGCATATACACTAGACCAGTAGTGATATTACACAAAAAGAGGGTTCTGTACCAAAGTTCCTTAAAAGTAGACTCATTCTATTTGCAACTAGAGAAAGAGTATGATGTATTTAAAGATACAGATTGGTTTAAGAGAAGTTACTAAAACCTACTGCACATTCTGAATGAACTACCCCAATAGTCTCAGTATTAAAAGCTGGTCAGGTACTTTTGTGTGGAGATTCACAGTGAAAGCAGCTACTAATACAGATACATGCCGTTTACCTACACTCAATGAAGCTTTTGTGTAGCTTCAGGTGGAGTAATATTCTTAAAAATTGTTTTAGAGCAAGCATACACAAGTGGCTGTCGATAATAACAGAGCTTGCTTACAGTATGTACATTTAAAGCATTGTACAAAGTAAAGTTAGCCTTGGTGTCAAAGCTTGTCCTGGTATTTTTCAATGGATGATAACTTCATTATTGTCAGGAATATCAGGAATAGCTTCTGTTAGACAATATCTTTATTTTTGGTAAAGACATTAACATACACAATGCAAGACTAGAGATGATGTTACAGAGGTTCAAACAAGCTGGTCTAAGAGTGAATAAAGAAAATGTAGTATGTAGTAAATACATATACATCTATATAAAGATGCATTGAGAAGCCACCTGCATCAAAAAATATTAAGGAATTACAGGCATTTCTAGTACTAATTTATTTTTTATGATAGATATTTATCTCATAAGGCAACCATTTCTGAAGCTTTATATTAGAGAAAGGCTCCAAATAGAATTGGAAGATGCTGAGGTCACTATGATAGCACCAAGAATTTAATTATGTCTTGCGATGCTTCTCAGTATGGACTGGTGCTGTTCTGGACAGGAACTGTACAATGGTATGTATGGTGGAAACTATGCTCAGATTAATAAGACTTGCTGCTATTGTTTTTGGTTTTAAGAAATTCCATCAATACATAAATGGACGGGAAGTGATAATTAAAATAGATCTAGGACGTGTATTGAGGAAGATGGTAAACAATTTCAACAAATATTATAATAAGAATGTTATTTTCCTATCTGACTTTTATTCCAATATATATAATTCCTAAACTAAACTAGGTTAAGATTGTTCATTATTTTATTATTTTTACTTACTTTTATCGATTTTGTTAAAAGTGGCGTCACTGTCTATCTCGCTCACTCATGGCAAACATGTCCACTATCTATCTCTCTCATCATTTTGCCGTAAAATTAAGAACCTACCAAAAGCTTGTGCGAATAAAAAATATTCAAACTGAGTAAAATGGGTTAGCAAAAATCGAGTTACTTGAGGTTTTTATTTTTTTACTCGTTTTTTTTAAATATATTACAAGTATTGTCCAATTTTAGAATCCTGATTAAATGTGCGAATTTTTAATGTCACTCGCCAAGCCACATTAGTACATTTTTTTAAAGGAGGGCTTTTCAAAGTC